TTTAGTCTAGACACCCAGCATCATTCAACCTGAAAGACAGACGGGGGAATTTATCAAACTGGAGCAGACAAAATCTGGAGCAGCTGTGAATGGCAACCGATCATCTTCTCTGTAGTTTGTTCAGTTAAGATTTGAAAATGAAAGAGAGAAGCTGATTGGTTGCCATGCACAGCTGCTCCAGATTTTGTCTGCTCCAGTTTGATGAATTCCCTTCAGACTGTCTAGTGGTGGAAATTAATTACTGTTGGGGGGGATAAAACAAGCTCACAAACTAGTTTTAAAATCGAAACGTCAGGTGGTGCAATATTTTGTAGAAGTGATCTATGCAGAGAAAAACAATGGCATCCTAATGCACTACCTAGCAGGCATGAGTTGCAGCACCATGCAGTGAAAAAAGAGGGATGCATTACTTTTTTGTGGCAACACAGAACATGCTCACCAGAAGGTACATTGGGCTGCAGCTGGGAAACGATGGCAATGCACAAGCGCACCTAGCGAGCAGTGAGATAGTGTACTCTTAATGTATGGAAGACATATGTTTAGCACAACGCTATAGTCTTAATAGGCCCTAAAGCAGGGCTGGACAAATCCCAGTAACCACGTAGCCAATGCGCCTTAAAAATTATAGCTGGTGCCTAACTTTTGAGGTTTATCTAGTTGTTGTCAATGGAGCCGACTTCTAAAACAAATCCTGCTGGTTCCTGAATTCCATATTAACCTGTCCAGCCACCCCTGCCCTAAAGGACATTAACGCACATCTGTACATAAATGCCAATTTCATAACACTTATTAGCCCCCACCACACGAGAAGAGGAAGAATTCACGGGCTATTGTTTAACGTTAACTCTCAATCAATGAGCTATAAAAGGTTTTCTTTCAATTAGGTGTTTTGGGCACCAAAGTTTTTTACTATTAAATGAGTGCCCACAATTTTGATCCTTTATATATTCTGGGGGGAATTTGTCAGTACTGGGACAGAATCTGGAGCAGTTGCCCATGGCAACCAATCAGCTTCTCTTTTCAGTTTGCTCAGAAACAATTTGAAAATGAGACAGAGAAGCTTATTGGCTGCCATGCACATCTCCTCCAGATTTTGTCTGCTCCAATTTTGATAAATTCCCCTCTCCGTATTTAATTAAAACAGTTTTATCTTTTATATTTTACCAAAAAAAAAAAAAAAAGATATACTGTATATGGGTAAAAAAACTGTTTGTTTGTTTGTTTGGGTGCACTAAAATGAGTCGTAATACGTTTTTTCTTAACGACAATAAAGATTTCATAAACATTTTTGCAAGTCTTGTGAGGTATAAATTGCAACCACCAGCTTTTTATTCTACAGGTCCCCAGCTTTCAAAATATACAAGGTCGGAATTTCATGTGAGTTTACAAGCCAAAAGTATGCATTTGAATGTGCAGAATGTGTGGGAAAAACAATTGGTCCAGCAGCAAAAAGCTTAAATATCTCATACACAAACCAGTTTAATTTCAAATGTGAGCTTCTGCTCATTGAAAAGTATAAATCACATGTTTATATCTCATCTTGCAATGCATTGTAACTGTACTGTCTTCCCCTTATTTTGTAAAGCAATGCACAAACTGCTGCTATATAAATCATGTCAAATAATATTAATCGGGGTGGACACATAAACATGGAATTCGGGAGCCAGTCTGCCCAATCCAGGGGCCAACTTCATGAACAACAACTAGGGAAAACCTTAAAAGTTAGATGCCAGCTGTCATTTCTGGGCTCCTGCACACGGGCATATTCCTGGGCAAATACAGATGTAAAATCAGAGATTGTACATGCAGAGCCCGGGAGCCGCAGCTGCTGTGGTTTCCTGTCCACAGCAATGCATGGACAGAAAATGCTATACTAGCGGGTATGACCATAAAGGCATTTGTATGCCCACAAGTTTCGCAGTTGGAAAATGACCCCCCTGCAAGTGCAAACCCCGGTACCAGTGTACCCCAAAGTACACCGTCCCTGTCCATACATAACTATGGACAGAAAAGCACACCAGCTGCAGTTCCCGAGTGCCACAAAACCAGCATTATTTTAAACTGTATTTGTTCTGGAATATGTCCGTGTGCATTAACCTATAGTCCCCATTCACACCTAGGCATCTGGTTGCTCAAAGGTAAGCATGACAAAACACTCAAGACAAGGAATCACATTCATTTCTATGGCCTCTGTTCACACCAGAGCGTTTTGTCACAAGCAGAAAAACACCTGTCGCTGGAAAAAATACATGAGCTATTTTTTGGCAGATTATAGCAAGTTTTGTCCCATAGACTTCCAATGGGAAACTTTGTGCAACAAAATGCACAACAAAACACTTAGGTGTGAAAAGGTGCCATAGAAATGAATGGGGTCCTTGTCCTGAGCATTTTGTCACACTTAGCTTTGAGCGACAAAATGCCTAGGTGTGAACAGAGCCTAAGGTCTCGTTCACACCTAGGCGTATTGCATATGCGCGACCGGCGCTCGGTTTTCTACCACGATTCGCGTTTCCGAAGGCTACTTGGCTGTATCCCAATGGAAACGCGCTACAAAACGGCCCAAAGTAGTACCTGTACCTTTTCAGGCGTGGGCCATTTTGTAGCGCGTTAGGGACGGGCGGAAATACGCCAAGGTGGGAACGAGACCATTGAATACAATGGGATTTATATTTTTGAGCGTTTTGTAGAGCGTTCGTCGAGCGTAGAACGTGCTACAAAACGTTCAGGTGTGAACGAGGGCTAAAGGTAGAAACACAAAAAAAACGGGGGCACCTGCCCTAATGTAGATAACTTTAATAAACGGATATAAAAACAAGAGTTATACTCAATGGAAGAATGTCCGTGAGGATCTGAGGAAGGGGGCATTCCCCAGAAACGCCTTAACCAGGGCAAGGCATGCAGTATAATGGATCGGTCATCTGTCTGCAGCTCTTCTGTGCCGTGTCTGTTTAGTTCACTCCTGGACTGCTGATATCTTCTCTATACTGAAGGCTCACTGACATTGCTTCAGTGTGAGTATAAAACTGGCCATACACCTATAGATTATATCTACAGCTTTTCTATAGTCAGATGGAAAAAGTGCAACAGATTCCTCCATCTATGCTAAGCTGTGTGGATGGAGGAATCTCCCGCTGGGCCCAGCTTCAGTATCTTGCTAGTCGGCCCCGCTGGCTCTCATAATACCTGAGCAATGCTGCATCCAATCAGATTGTTCAGGTATTTTGACAGCCAGCAGGGCTGACTAAGGATACTGAAGCTTGGTCCAGCGGGAGATTCCTCCATCCACACAGTTTAGCGTAGATGGAGGAATCTGTTGCACTTTTTCCATCTGACCACAGAAAATCTGCAGACAATCTATAGGTGTATGGCCAGCTTTACTGTTGTTTTAATATCCATTTATTAAAGTTATCTACACTAGGGCAGGCGCCCCCGGTTTGTTTTGTGTTTCTGCTAGATACTCCAGGCTCCCTGACTGAAGCAGGACTGCCTACCTGTGGGATTCTCTTGTGCACACATCTCAAGCGGAGTGTTATTCCTGGCGCTAGCGGTACTCACAACATTGTAGAGCCTAAAAAAGGTATATTGGCTACCTGTACAGTGGCTGAATGGTGAGCAATTCTGGCTTGCAGCACTGAGGTCCTCGCTTTGAGGACTTGTTCACACCAGTCCCGGACCAGAACATTTGTTGTCCGCACCTAAACTGCATCCCAATGTATTCCTATGGTACTTCGGGGCTCTGTTCACACCAGTGTGGTCCGTTCTGGTGCAGGGTAAAAAAAAATACTGCATGCACTATTTTTGTCTGGTTTGGAAACACATGCAACACACTGGAATGCACCTGAAAGCCCATTCAGACTAACGCTGGGACACATAAAAAATGCACCACACTTGCAGAAATGCATCCAGATCTGGTCCGGACGTGGTGTGAACAAGCACTGAATGCAGGTTTGGCCAGGGTACTATCCGCATGGAGAGTGCTTGGTGGTAGGAAATCTAAATGGGCCCTAGCATGTGAGATGAGATAGGGCACTCAGATTGTAAGCTTCAGGAGCACATGGACTGATGGGAATGTATACTATGTAAAGTGCTGCATCAGTTCTGGGCACTATATAAACACAGCCACGGCTAACAAGGCAACATATGCTTGACATGAAGCTAATGCTTGAATAGGATTAACCAGGATCACCTCGTTAAAAACTCAAATGGCCAGAACAGCACATCTTCCAGGAGGGATGTCAGACTGGGAAATCGTTCCCCATCTCCTGAACGTATTTATTTCCATATGGCTGCTACTAGCAGCTACCTGTTGGTGTAGAACTATCCTACTGACTCAACATGGGGCGATGACAACAGTATTATTAGAGAGATTAAGCCAATGTGCAGCCATAACACTGATCATCACAGATTCCTGACATGTAATAGTCCAGGTAGCACGGCTGCACAGCCGGGCCTAACTGGTACATGCAACCCTAATACAAAGCATTGGCATATGTCAAACCAACTGCACAAGTTCGCCATCATAATTTTCTCCATGTTCCAATTCTCCAGCTACGCCCTTCACCAACTTAAAATCACCAGCTACACCGAGTCAGAGCTCCAATGTACACAGGGCCATGCAGCAGCCTCAGTCAGAGAACATCACACTTGTACTTAGTGTTTATACATTTCTTCTCTGCTGAGGCCACGATCCCGCAGGTGCGCGGGCACGCGGAGGAAGGGGTGGCGCTTGGCAGACCGAGAGCGCGCGTCCGTAACCGACGCTTAGCGGCAAAGGGCGGGAAGGAAGCCTCTTGCAGCAAAGTGCGCACGCGCAGCCCTCTGCCAACCGCAAGCGCGCATGCACAAAACAGCTCCGAGCTCTGCGCGAGCGCACTGTGTCCGCCGATAGGAAGAGGAGGGGGCGGCGGGAGCGCGCAGGAAGATTGTTGTGGGGAGTGCGCGTTTCCGCGAGAGGTGCCGTTATACCGTAGTAACAAGCAGGATGTTGTGAAGCTACTTACCCCTTTTAAACGCTTCATGAGTGTGTTCTTTGCGCCGCTCTTAGCTAGTCCTCGCTCTTCAAGTGCCGCTCTTAAATCGGTGACCCGAAGGCTGTCCAGCGGCCTCCCGTCCAGCGTCACGTCTTCTAGTTCTGCCATTTTGTACGTCTTTAGTCGTTCCAAAACCTGGCAAGAACAAGGAGCACCGACTGCGGGGCGCTAGACGACCGAGTTCGGCCGATCCCGCTGCGTGACGTCAGCCTCGGGCACTTCCGCCTCCGCGCTCGGGTCCAGTCGGAGAATCTCTTTTTTTTCCCCCTCCTTCCTGTTACCTCACGTTCGTTTAGTCGTGAGTCGCCGCCCACATCAGCCTCACTTTCGTGGTAAGTAGTGTTTGTTTTGGACTTACTAGAAAGTCTAGTACAACAGCGACATCTAGGTGGTCATTTGGGGTAATGTCCATTGCTCCGAGGCCTGTGCCGTCTACAGCAAAACTACGGGATTAAAGTACCCATGTGTTCTAGAAATTTTGTAAAAAAAAAAAAACCCGTTCTCTCGAATGTGTGCGTAATTCGGCTTTGTGCTTACAGTATGTGGACTCGTGGTCTTTGTTATACTAAAAGAAGGGAAATTACATAGAGGTGTTAAGGGGGGGCATCCTCCACGCTCAAACTATTGTGGAACTGCAAGTCCCATGAGGCATTGCAAGACTGACAGTCACATGCATTGCTCCCAGTGGCAGAGGCATCATGGGAGTTGTAGTTTCACCACAGCTGGGGGAGCTGATATGCACCAATACCGGTTTTTGGGTATAGAGTACGAGTACCGATATTTTGCTTTCGGTACTCACCGAGTATTGGTGCTTACATTTGCATGGAGCAGGCTTCCCGGGCAATCAGGAAGCCGGGCAGCGGGTAATGAGATGCTACCCGGCTTCCTGACTGCCAGGGAAGCCAACTCCATGTTGTTTGGCAATGGCTTGGAAGCCGGTTTCCCAGCCAATCAGCTGGCTTCCTGGCCAATCAGAAAACTGGGAGGCGGGTCATTAGTCGCTGCCCCGCTTCCTGATTGCACAGGAAGCCGGCTCCATGTTCCCCTACGGCACTGCCGGTCAGAGGAAATCTTCCTCCGACCAGAAGTTACGGTATTGGAGAAGATATCAAGCATTTGGGCGAGTAGAAGTACTTGCCCAAATACTCTATCTGTGCATCCCTAATCAAAACTGTATTGGTCTGTGCTAAATAGCGCTTCTGCGTGGTCCCCAGACCACGCTGACCAATGAGTGCTTGCAATTTGCGAGCAAAATTCAAAATGCATAGGGGAGGACTGCGCTGGACAGTACGGGGTAAGGACAGTACACCTGTACCGGCGGAGGGTAAGCACTGTTTGGCGAAAGGTAAGTATAGTCGGGAGGTGGGGGGTTTTGGGAGAGACGGGGGCCAGATTTGATCGGATAATTCCATTTTCCCATATTACCTGGGAAAGTGAACTTGCCCTTTAATGCACATTGTGCGTTGGTGAGAGTTCTGCTGCCTCGCTGCCACAATATGGCACAATTAAATGGCGGCAGCACTCAACGCACACACACAATGTCCTATGCGTGCGTTTATTTGCATGCAGATGGCGGGGGCAGTGGGGTTGGTTTTTATTTTATTTTTTACATTGTCATTTTTTTAAAATATAATTAATTATTTTTTACTTTTTCATAACTTTTTTTTAAATTTTTATTATTTTTAACTTTTTTTTCCCCCACCTAATTTTATTCCTATCACATAGGGATTTAAAATCCTCTAACTGATAGTTTGGAGGTGGCAGGTTCTCTTTATGGAACCTGCCCTCCAACACAGAACTGATGTTCTGTGTAGTTCTTGACAGCCGAGACAGGTGGCGCTGTGATTACAGCGCCACAGTCTCAGTGATAACACAGAGCAGCCGAAACACGTCCGTTTTTCGTCTGCGGGCTCTATTGATCAGATCACTTGAAAACGAGCGGCGGCTTCACACTGTACACTTAGCTCTGCTTGTCCGGAGCCGGGCTAAGTGCATGTCCCAGGCGTCAGGCGATAGGAATTCCACACCCCCGAACAACTTAAACCTGGCCACCCTTGGGGCGTCAATGCTTGGCCATAGGGGATAAGCATTTAGTTAGTAGTGCTCCCCCTTCGGGCTGGCAACAGCTCCAAGAGTGTTTACCAAGGTTCTGGCCCCCGTTCTGGTGATGCTGAAGACCAGGGGCATATCCGAAAACTTGATCAAGGCAGCAGCAATCCTTGACTTGCAGGCCAGCCTGCAGCTCATCCTACACTTCCTGGTGAGTTTTAGAGGACTAGTACGTTTGTAAAAGTCTTCTCTGGTTCAGATGCAACAGCACGTAACTGAGCAAATCCTTGCTATTGGATTGGCAAGGGTTGTCTCGTGCCAAGTAACAACAAAACACTTGGAGACTACCGTTCCTGAGCAGATGCATTAGAGGGGTGCCGAGTGTCATGGTGTCATCTTTTGAAGCAGTCTCCTTTGCCTAGTCTAATACCAACATCTTACAACAGAACATACAGTCCTTGACAGGGAGATTTACCTTCTACCACAGACCAAGGTGTTTCTGTTGTGGTGCCTTTGATAGCCAATGGCATCACAGAGTCGTTCCTTCCTGCCCCTCTGTTAAAAGGTCCTCACCATGGATGTGTGCGTCTCCAGCTAGGATGCATGCTGGGCACCCTGATGGTGCAGTATTTTTGGATGCAGTTTGTCTAGTGCTGTGTTATTAGATGCCGCAGGTGAAGGCTAGTCCACTTAGGAACCAGGCTAACAATGTCATTGTGGGAGCTTACAAAAGCCATCAGGGCAGAGCTAGAAGCCTAGCCTCAGTATAAGTGGTACATCACCTCTTTTGACAGATGAAAAGTCAGGTCCCAGCTCTGTCTGTCACAATCTGGGAAACCTAAGCACAAGGGTAGGTAGGCTTACTGAGTGGCTTGAAGAAGCAAGCTGGAGTGAACCCTGAGGTACAGGGCTGAGGACCCAGAAACTAGGAGTCTGTGTGGTATCAGACACTGCGCCTCTAGTGCATCCATAAGAAGGCCCAGGTCTTCCACAGAGCCTCTAATGGTGAGGATGATTGACTGCTGGACACCGTCCAGGTTGTGGCCCTCTAGCGCACCCTCGCAGACTCAGGAAACTGGTTGCAGCCCCGGGGCTTAGGACACAAAGCCTGTTCACAAACAGCAGTACAAGATGCAGAGGGCCGCAGGAGTCCAAACAATAGTGGGAAGGGAACACAAGGACACAACAGGGCTATCCGGAGATAACAGAGGAGCGAGGCTCCAAGGGCAAACAACCATACAGGAAGAAGACAAACTCACAGGTAAGCAGGATCTCACGGGGAGCACAAGGGAATACCAGGAGACACAAGAAACAAAGCAGTGATCCAAGGCAAAATAGTACACGGGGGTCTGGTCAATTGTAACGACTCGTTGTTCAAGTGAGCTGAGCATTTAACACTGAGGTTCAGCGTGGTTTGGCAGGGAGCCGAGCATCTGGGACAGGAGGCAAAACCCGGCGCTGAATCATGGCACAGAGGTGTGACGCTGTCAGCAGTCCACATACCCTTAGTGGAGAACTGGCATAGGACTTTCTGAATCATCAGCACATTGATCCTGGAGAATGGTCACCCCATCAGCAGGTTTTCCTTCAGATCTGTCAATGGTGGGAAACACCAGACGGGGATGTGATGGTGTACTAAAATCTTAAGCTAAACTAGTTCATAGCCAGAGAAGAGACCCACTGGTAGAATTGGCGGATGCCCTGTTAACTCTTTGCATGCAATTTTCCCTGATATAAACGCATTTTCACCACTGAAACCACAACTCCTGTGAAGATCAAATCAGAAGTAATCACCAGCATGTGGAGAGCTCTTGATTGGCCAAGTAGAGCCTGGTACTTTGACCTTGTTTCTCTGGTTGCAAATGCTTCATGGTCGCTACCATTTCACTGGACCTTGTTTCTCAAGGTCTAATTCTCCATCTTGTTTCTCAGTAGCTAGATTTAATGGAATGGCTATTGATTGTAGCCTAGATACTGAGAGGGTGCTCTCTGACTTTATTTTTTTTGTCAGTTTATATCAAGCAGTCACTATGACTGCTTGATAAATTAACTTTTTTGATTTTTAGTTATTAGGCTGGTCCAAACTTAGGAACAGCTAACCTTAGAGACTGATCCTGACAGCATGTCAGAATCAGATCTCACTAAGGCCCCATTCACACTGCGCAAATCGCAAAGCGCGCGTTTGTCGCTCTTCAATGCAAAAGCATTGAAGAGCGATATCGCGCGGTAAATAGCCGCGATATCGCGGGAATTCCCGCGCGATAAATCGCTCAATGTGAACGGGGCCTAAAGGTTTCTGATGGTGCCCAGAAGATCAGAAGTGATAAATTTCAGGCACAGAGATACATTGTAACATTGTGCCTGAAATGTATCACACAGCTTCACAGACATGGGCCAGTCTAACGAGCTGTCAAAATGAATAGCAGAGAGGTGACTCACTCTGCTACCTCTCTGCTCTGCTGATCTGGTATTTGTATGTAACGGCTTTCATTAATGAAACAAAGAAGCTTTTACAAAAGCTTAACTATTTAATTAATGAGTGCTTCAATACTGAGGCATTAGTAATGAAATGTAACCGCTGAGAATCAGCTGTTACCAGCTTTACAGAGCCGCAAATAACTTGTCACGTATAGTCAGGGCTCGAAAAATCCACTCGTCTGTGACGAGTTGGCGGATTGATATCTGCTGTACTCTCCCGTGCAGACCGGAACTATTACTTAATTGTCGGGCGCCGCGGCCCGATATTAATGCGCCGGCCCGAAAGTGAGGAAATAGTCCCCTCTCTCCCCGGGCCATACCACTTTTATCGGGGAGGCCGGGAGAGAGGGGACAGTTTGACATTATGAGGTTCCACAGGCTGAACCACAAATTCCCCCTCTAGTTCTCTCTAATGCAGATGGGCCGGTCTATGCAGAAATTACGCCGCGACCCACTGCAGAGGGTGTTGTGACCCACTTTTGGGTCGCGACCCACGAGTTGAGAACCACTGATCTAGATTAGGGATGCACCGATACCGGTATTTTGGTACCGAGTACCGATAATTTTTTTTCGGTACTCGCCGATACCAATTACTGAGTAACGGAAGTCCCATTCAGGAATCCAGGTGGCGTGTAATGACTCACCACCTGGCTTCCTGATTAGCCGGGCAGCGTGTAAAGAGTCGCCACCCGGCTTCCCGATTAACAAAAAAGTCCCCTCTTACCTTCGTATGTGCAGCCTGTCATCCCCCGGGGCCTCTCCAGCGAGAACGCGGCCTTTGTCCGGTACCCAGCCGGAGCCGTCTAGCCGGCCAATCAGGAAGCGACGCCCTGCTTTCTGATTGGCTGGGAGGCCGGCTCCATGCTCTCTTGTCATGAGATGACGAGGGAGCATGAAGCCAGCTTCCCGGACAATCAGAAAACAGGGCGTCGCGTCATTAGACAGCTCCCGGTTTCCTGATTGGATGGCTCGGGCTGGGTACCGTACGAAGGCCGCATTCTCGCTGGAGAGGCCCCGGGGGATGGCAGGCTACACATACTAAGGTAAGGTAGCCTTACCTCATGAGGCCAGCTTCCGGTCAATCGCGAAACCGGGCAGCGTGTAATGACGCGTTGCTCGGCTTCCTGATACCGGAAGTACTCGTGCTAGGCATCGGAGCATTTGGGCGAGTACGAGTACTTGCCCAAATACTCGGAATCGGCACCGATATCAATACTAGTATCGGTATCGGTGCATCGCTAATCGAGATGACATTGGTCTGTGCTTGATGGGCTATTAGAGCTAGAATCCAAAGAGGGTTCTAGGCAGAAACTAAAATTCCAGAATCAGAGTCTAGGGCCAGCTTTAGACAGCGTTCACAGAACATTTGTCCTAATTAAGAAGGTTTTCCACTCCAATGTTCTGGCGTCAATTCACAATTTAGGATTTTCCTTGGCAGCAAGCATTAATCTCCCTTGTGGCGACAGAGAATCATGAATACCTGACAGTGGCGTATATACACTTAAAAGCGACCCTGTCACTTGTAAAATAAGCCTTAGCTGTAAATAACAAAATAGCATATATAGTCACCTTTCCAGCAGCCGTGTCTTCAAATACCTGCAGTTTGCTGCTCCCTAGCTGGTGCAGGTATTCAGTACCTCTTGCCACTGTGGTTCATCCTGCCAGCTGATACCTTACTACAAGTTTCTCTAGTTGGAGCTTACACAGGACTGAGGGCATTCTCATTGGGTAGCCCTAAACAGGAAAAATTAGGTAAACAAAAGAGTTACATCAGAAAGTGGCACAGATGAGTGTTCTAGCTGTGTAAATAATATAAAGAATTCTGTGCTGTCTTCCCTTTGCAGGACAGGATGTTGACTTCAAAAATGTTAAAATGGAGTACAGGTTAGTTTACATGGAAACATAAACGACTATGGGGCTCTGTGATTTGATGCTGTTGTGCATTCTGAGGAGGCGGGAGCAGAGTGCATGTTTTAGGCAGTTGACAGGGTAGTAACCATCTGACTTCAGGTGATCTCTAATCTTTGAAGAGTTAAGCTGGCCCTACACCTATAGATTATCTGCAGACTTTCTATGGTCAGATGGAAAAAGTGCAACAGATTCCTCCATCTACGCTAAACTGTGTGGATGGAGGAATCTCCCACTGGGCCAAGCTTCAGTATCTTTCTAGTCGGCCCCGCTGGCTGTCAAAATACCTGAACAATCTGATTATTATTATACAGGATTTATATAGCGCCAACAGTTTGTGCAATGCTTTACAATGTAAGGAAGACATTACAATCTATTTCGAGACAAGATGGTAAGGAGGGCCCTGCCCTTGAGGGCTTAGAATCTAAAAGGGAGGGGCAAGTGATACATGAGGTGGTAGCTGTGTGTGGATGAATTGTTTGTGAGAACGTGATGGTTGAGTGATTGGATGCAGGCATTGTTCGGGTATTTTGACAGCCAGCGGGGCCGACTAGCAAGATACTGAAGCTTGGTCCAGTGGGAGATTCCTTCATCCACACAGCTTAGCGTAGATAGAGGAATCTGTTGCACTTTTTTCCATCTGACCATAGAAAAGCTGCACATAATCGATAGGTGTATGGGCAACTTTAGGTTTGCACCTAATTAAAAGGGAAAATATACATGTTTCATAAGCCTGCCTGCATGATTATGATTGGAAATTAAATGTTCACTTTCTTGCAGTCCAGACTGGTTTTCTTTAAAAAATAGAATTGTTTCTTATTCCATGTTTTTAAGCCATACAAAAGTGTTTACCTTTTTTTCTTCACCTAAATTTGTACTTTAATTTTGAAAAGATACCTAGTTATGTTTCCTTGTCTTCAGGAGTGTGTTCCTTTGTCTTCTAGGCAATGACAGAAGAGGCTGTCCCTATTTCGTATGTTCCTGCACAGGAGATGCGCTGTGTTCTACACTGGTTTGCACAATGGACAGAAGCACAGCGCAAACATTTTCTTCAGGATTTGCTGTGCAAGGCTGTGCCTGGCAAACTGAGTCTACTACTTGATGGACTGGGCTCCCTGAACCTTTCCCCTCCACCCCCTAGCCTATTTAAGTGCCAGATAAGACTCTGGGATCAGTGGTTCCAGGGCTGGGATGAGGATGAAAGGAATGAGTTTTTACGCCGTTTGCAGCAGCAAGAACCAGATTTTGTGGCACTGTTCTATAAGGAGATGACCGGAACAACAAGCAAGGTCTGATAACCGCAGGAGCTGGAACTGGTCCTGAGAAATTAAAATGATATTCCAGCTTTTTTATAGTCACTAAAGAGAACGGTGCTATTCTGGTTCAAATAAAAGAGCATTCCTGGCTTTACTAATTCCCACTGCCATCTCTTCACCATTTGCCATATCTTGACTGTATGTAACAGATTAAAGTGTATGTAAAAAATGGTTAGAAGGTTGTTATTGTTGGATCAACCCATCAGTTCCTGGCTCAAGGGGTTTGTCGCATCATTATCACAAAATCCACATCTTCCTGCCGCTTGGGGCTCAATGATGTGTGAACAACCACCCCGGAATGCAGGCTACGATCCCTCTCATTCTCAATAGGTGCAACATATTTCATCTAGCAAACATTTTTTACACAGGCAGAAAAAAAAATACGAACTTCTTATCACATGAGAGCTAATTATCGATGCACAAGAAAGACTGCTTAGGGTTTTTTTGTTAAAACAATGGTTTTGACCTCATATGAGGCTCTCTGCGGGGTCTGTGTATGGGTGTCTCTCTCTCAAATGCAAATATGTGAAGTTTTTTTTGTTTTCTTTACAATTAATATATATTAAAGCTTTAATTCCCTTCTAAGCCACTATCTGTTTTTTCAGTTTCCGTTTGAAGGCTTTTTAGCTGAGACCTGTGTTACAGCCACTGGCAGCCCCACTGCAAGGGTTAACTATGTAAATAATTGGAGTTCTTTAAACACGGGGGATTGATCAAAACTGGAGCAAACAGAATCTGGAGCAGTTGCAACCAATCAGCATCTCTCTCCAGTTTGCTCAGTTACGATTTTAAAATAAAAGAGAGAAGCTGATTGGCTGCAGTGCAATTCTGCTCCAGATTTTGTCTGCTCCAGTTTTGATAAATCCCACCACCCCAGCATCTTTGCTGGCTTTAACTTTAATAAGGTATTTAAGAAAACATGGTGGGACATACCTTCCATCATGTTTTACAGACCTCCGGTTACAAAGCCAATTGCAACAGTTTTTTTGGGTTTTTTTTATTGCTGTCTATGTCCCACTGATCCCTCTTTTTGTTATGGTGACCATTGTCATAGAAACAGAAAGCAAGAGGAAATCCAAAATTCTAAAGTCGTCATTTAAGGTGCCCATACACCTTACGATTAACGCACGATTTTCATCTACGATCGCGTTTTCGTATGATAATCGCACCGTTGATGGGAAGTGCACAACCGCAATTACTTTACAACCGTTCGACTTTTGTCTTTCCAGCAGGCTAGAAAACTTTTACCGAATCGTACGAAATTTGATGGGTTAGTGGCGTTTTTGTACGAAAAAACAAGAACACTGCACATGCGCAAACGAAAATCCGTTCTGTCAGTTGACGAAAGGTGATATCGGTAACGAACGCTAATTGAAATACACAATGGTCTGTGCATGATGGGGCAGTTGTACGAAAATAGAATGACGATTCGATCATTGTACGAAAATAATCGTGCAATGGTTGTAAGGGGTATGGGCACCTTAATACAATCCTCCAATAGGGACATATGTTTTGATGGCAGTTGTCTGAGAAGGAAAATCCCCTCACTTTGGAGATATTTTCTTTATTTTCCTGTTGCATTGCCAGGACAGGAAGTGTTGAGATGTTTCGAGCAGGCCACAGATACCTATAATAACCTGATACAGGCTTTACACTTCCTAATGAAAACTAAAATAAAACAAGATTTATTTATACAAACACTTTAAAGTATTCAAAGTGGGTAATGTGTAAGCAATTCCTTTGATGTATAGGTGCGTCTTATGTCAGCTGTTTTTTCTTTCTTAGACGGCAGCTGGCACATGCTCCCCTTGTAGATTTTCGTCTTCAACATTGTATATGTCCCTCACTTGCATATTCCGTATCCTGTGTCTGCACCAGATGAAAGAGATGATCAGCACTGCACAGAAAAGGCCACATATACAGCTTCCAATAAGAGCAGCTTGATTGAGCAGGTAATGATGAGAATCAGTGGTCAGCAACCTACAGCAATGGAAACACATTATCCACAATTAGGGTTTTCAGAAATGTTGTGCTGAAACGGGCACACTTCAGATGAAATGAAGTCAAATTGTTTACCTGATGAGGACATGTGAAAACTGAGGAGATTCATAGGCGATAGGATGTGTGAGGTTCATTAAAAGTTCATAAATAGGAGTTTCTGAAGCAGATGGAGGGCACTTCCTGGGCTCCTCAGGTCTAATGCTAAATGTTAAATCCTCATTTGGCACAGCGGACACATGCAATGAACACCTACACAAACGAGTACAAGAAATGGTTGATTTTTTTTTACGCAAGGTGGTTTTTAACTTTGCTAAAATTTTACATGTGTTTACAGTGTTTGTATATTTCTAATGCACAGTTGATGGTACTTATTCAAAGGTGAATCATTTACCTGCTTCTATAGTTAGAGGTTTTGAGATGTGACTGGTATACTGTATATCTTGAACCTGATTCTTTTTATACCATATAAAATCAAAGCTCTGGGACATGGCTTTAAGAACATATTTTGTTTTTTGGGCCAAATGTTCTGGCTTTGTCTTGTGCGTACCAGGGAGGTGTGACTGCAAAAAATAGTGCATGCACAATTGGGGGCGTGCCTGCAGTGCCATTCACTTGAATGGCGCTGCCTCACCCCCTCCCACCCCAGAATGCAAGGAGACTTTATGTATGCGATCCCTTGCGTTCCGGGCACGGGACAGTGCTGTAGACGCGCAGGCTGGTGGAAACAGGCCCTGAAACTTCATGTATGCGATACCTTGCGTTTCGGGCACGGGACAGTGCGGTAGACGCGCAGGCTGGTGGAAACAGGCCCGGAGACTTTATGTATGCAATCCCTTGCGTTCTGGGCACGGGACAGTGCGGTAGACCCACAGGCTGGTGGGACACAAGCCCTAAAGAGGAACTGTAGTGTGGCCAAAGGTAGGCAGATGTGCAAGACTGCTTCTTCTGGGTTTGGCTTCTTATCTGTTCAGCCGTTGGGCAGCCATTGATGGTGTAACTCTTGTTCGTGAATGCTGGAGTTACATTGTCCTGACACCCAGGCCAATTCTCGGTATCTTGCAGGTGTAAGCAATGGGCTAGGAATATAGACTGCACACACACCGCAGGCAGTGTGCACAAGAACAAAAAATTGCTGGGAGCAAGGGAAAAACTTTTTTGGGCAGAAAAGACATGCAAAGTCTCTTCTACCAGAAAACGACATTGTAGCACTTGTTTAGTTCTGCTTTAATGAGAAAACATAAAGATTTCTTATTTACATTTTAGAGGTCGCTAAAATATATATTAATATTCAGGGCCGAATCTCCCACAAGGCCACCGAGGCACGGCCTTGGGGTGGCAGGGCCCAAAGGGGCGGCAGGGGTGTGGCATCTCCCGACACCCGGGACATGCATTTCCGTGCGCCGGGTGGGTAGTTGTTTACTACATTAGCCCTGCTTTAGGCAAGCAGGGCTAAATGTAGAGCCGGGAAGCCGGTCGTTCATTTACAAGTGATCGCGGCGATGGTCGCCATGATAACTTGTATGCAGCAGGGAGAGTAAATCTGGCCATGTTAATATTATGTATTTTATCTACCTGCATGTGTGTGCATCTATACTGTACGTTATATGATTTTTCTCACCTTCGCACTCCTGCGTGGTGTGCAATGACTCCAAGGACTTCATCCATTAGAAGTGTTTTCTTTTCTGAGGTCCATGAAAGGCCAGCCATAAGGGTAACCTGCACCCTGATGTCCTGGCGAGTTGCAGGCTTATGCATGTTTAAGGCTGGGGTTGAGGTGGAAGTAGAAGTTGGAAGAAGAGGTTTTTCAAGTCCCAAGCAGAGCCGTCCATCTGGGCACAATAGTACACCATCAAAACCTGCCACCTGTGTGATATAACAACCATTTATAGCTTGAATCATTCGTAGTATATCTTTTACTTATTATTGCCTCGGAAACAAGGCTGTTGCTTGTTTCTTGATTTATTATATTGACAGTGACTTTTTCTGCCTCATTTTGTGTCCTGGTTTAAACTTTTTTCAACTACTAAAAAAAAAAAAAATTGCCTTGGAGTAGACAATTTTTTTTCTTATACTATACGGTCTGGGTCAGTTGTTTTATTATATATATATATATAT